GCGCCCCCCACGCGCCCCCCACGCGCTCCCCGGCAGTTGTGCAGTGTTCCAGTTGTGTCATTCTGTGGCTAAGTAATATTAGCCTGGAATCTGCAGGCTTTGGAATGAAGACAGACAGACAGACATGCAGACATGCAGACATGCAAACAGACAGGACAGACAGCCAGCCAGACAGACAGACAGACAGACAGACAGACAGAGAGACAGGACGGACACACAGATAGACTGATAGGCACACAGACAGACAGACAGAGAGACAGGATGGACACACAGATAGACTGATAGGCACACAGACAGACAGATAGACAGACAGATAGCAGACAGACAGGACAGACAGACAGACAGGACGGACACACAGACAGACAGACAGACAAACAGGCACACAGACAGACAGATAGCAGACAGACAAGACAGACAGACAGATAGACAGGACAGACAGATAGATAGACAGGACAGACACACAGACAGACAGACAGACAGAGACAGACAGATAGACGGGACAGACACACAGACAGATAGACAGACAGACAGAGAGACAGACAGGCAGACAGGATGGACACACAGACAGACAGATAGGCACACAGACAGACAGACAGACAGCAGACAGACAGGACAGACAGGACAGACAGATAGATAAGACGGACACACAGACAGACAGATAGACAGGAGGACACACAGACAGACAGACAGATAGACAGACGGACAGACAGACAGACACACAGACAGACAGACAGGACCGACAGACAGACAGACAAACAGGACGGACACACAGACAGACAGATAGGCACACAGACAGACAGACAGATAGACAGACACACAGACAGATAGACAGATAGACAGACAGATAGACAGACAGATAGGACAGACAGACAGATAGACAGATAGACAGGTACATAGTTAAGTAGGTAGGTAGATAGACAGATACATATATGTATATATAGATAGGTAGATACATACATGCATACATAGACAGATACATAGATACATAGATATACGTACATACGTACATACATGCATACACAGACATACATATATACATACATACATACATACATACATTTGCCAGTTCTGAGGGTTTGAACTCAGGGCCTGGGCGCTGTCCCTGAGCTCTTTCACTCAAGGCTGGTGCTCTACCACTTGAGCCACAGCGCCACTTCTGGTTTTCTGAGTGGTTCACTGGCGATCAGAGTCTCAAGGACTTTCCTGCCTGGGCTGGCTTTGAACCGTGATCCTCAGATCTCAGACTCCTGAGTAGCCGGGATGACAGGCGGGAGCCACCAACAATCATCTTCAGCTGCACAGATTTCACCGTAATATATCTACTACAGTAAAAACAATATCTCCTCCTTCCTTAGCTAATAGATGTGCAATTACACTAGTAAGTCTTGTAAAAAATAAATATTTGAACTAGGTGCCAGTGGCTCCCGCCTGTCATCCCAGCGACTCAGGAGGCTGAGATCTGAGGATCACAATTCAAAGCCAGCCCAGGGCAGGAAAGCCTGTGAGACTTTTATCTCCAGTGAACCACCAGAAAACCAGAAGTGGAGCTGTGGTTCAAGTGGTAGAGCGCCAGCCTTGAGTGAAAGAGCTCAGGGACAGCGCCCAGGCCCTGAGTTCAAGCCCCACCACTGACAAACATAAATGACTAAGTATTTGACTCTTGACTTCATGAAGCCATGCGCATGCCTCCTCGGCCTTGTCTTTGCTGCGCTCCAGATCCTGTACAACTGTAGCTGCGTGGCTGCGTCGGGCTCTGGGCCAGGGAACTCCTCGGGCATGTCGGGAAGGTGCCAGAAAGATAACAGCTGCTCCCAGATGTTTCTCTATTTCCTGGTGATTTCCGTCGTCAGCTCGTACACGTTGTCTCTGGGCGGAATTCCTGGGTACATCATTCTCCTGAGGTGAGGGGCAGGGCTGTCTCTTCCCACTCGGATCTTAATCCACGAAGCCATATGGATTATTTTAGTGTAATTGTCCTAATCCCTCAGTTTTCTGTTTCTTGTCGGTAGTGGGTCTTGAACTCTGGGCCTGGGCGCTGTCCCTGAGCTCTTCAGCTCAAGGCTGGTGCTCTACCACTTGAACCACAGCACCACTTCTGGTTTTCTAGTGGTTTTATTGGAGATCAGAGTCTTACAGACTTTCCTGCCCAGGCTGGCTTTGAACCTCGATCCTCAGATCTCAGCCTCCTGAGTAGCTGGGATTATAGGCGTGAGCCACCGGTGCCCGGCTTTTCGAATCATGTTTAATCAGGTTATGTAGCTCCATGTCTGGTGTGTAGGTTCCACGAATTCCATTTCGAAATCATGACCAATGGTGTTTAATGCACTGCCTTTGTTGGTTTTCTAGAAGCATCAAGCCTCAACTGAAATCTTTCGCCCTGGGTATCTACACCCTAGCAGTGAGGGTGCTGGGTAAGTGTATTCAGAAAGACCCAAGTGTCTCGTGTGTTTGTGCGGGGCGGAGGCGGGGTCTGTGTACATTCTTGCTGACACAAGGAAAATGCTATCGACCATCCTGATTCTTCATTCCGGAAGACCTCAGCTTCAGTTTGGCCTCCGTACCTGTCATCTAGTTGCCCAGGAGGCTGAGACCTGAGGATCGTGGTTCAAAGCCAGCCCTGGCAGAAAGTCCACGAGACTCTTATCTCCAAAGAACCACCAGAAAACTGGAAGTGGCGCTGTGGCTCATGTGCTACAGCACCAGCCTTGAGTGTTAAATTAAATACTCAGGGACAGCGCCCAGGCCCTGCGTTCAAGCCCCAGGACTGGTGCATAGAAGGAAGGAAGGAAAGAAGGAGGGAGGGAGGGAAGAAAGGAAGGCAGGAAAGAAGGGACGGAGAGAGGGAGGGAAGAAGGAAAGGAGGGGAAAGGAGGGAGGAAGGAAGGAAGGAGGGAAGGAAGGAAGGAAGGAAGGAAGGGGGGAAGGGAGGG